CCCTCCTTCTTTCTTTCTCTCTCTTCCCTTCTCTATCTCTCTATCTCTCTATCTCTCTACCTCTCTATCTCTCTATCTCTCGATCTCTCGATCTATCTAACTATCTATCTTTCTGTCTGTCTATGGGATGACTCAGCTTCATACCTGTTCTTTCCTCTTTGTCTTCGCCTGTCTCTTTTTTTTTTCTTTCACTCTTCGTGTTTTCTGGTCGCCATGTCAATTCTGTTATTTCACCATATCTTGTTTTCATCCTTTTTTTTAACGTACGTGTTCGACTATCCCTAACCACCGGTATTTCTCGTTTTTGAGATGCAAGAGAAAAATGGACCAAATCAGATAGCTATTCAGGAGTAGATCATCTGCTCCCCTCCTCCCCCACCCTAGCTCTCTTTGCCGTTCTTTGCTATTAGATGGCTGATCCAGCATCACCGACACCCATAAAAAATATTATCATTGCGAAGCCATGAAATTGCTACCCTAATCCACCCCAAATGTACTCCCATCAATATTTAGCTCAGTCCGAGTCTTGGTATTTTTTCCCCTTAAAATTGTCTCCCTTCTCGCCTGCTTTTGCTCCACACCACCATCATTGTTGATGCATGAGTGGAAACACAGGGGATGCTTCCTTGTCTTGACCTATCAGATATGAAGTTGACCCCAGCGTGACCACCGTCTTCAGAGTTGTTTGTCTTATGGGGCTTTGCTTCGAGACATTTCAGAAAGCTTTCACTCAGCCGGACGTGAATGTTTTCCATCTCTATCACCGACAAGCATCCACATCTCTCACCCATCGCCTCCCCTCCTCTCCATTTACCCCACACAAACTGTAGTCGCATCTGTTTCTCTATCACTTTCTAAACAATGCCCCCTCTTCTCATGTTTGTTTTCGTTCTCCGTTGTACCAACTCTGGTACCTTCATAAAGGACATGTCAACATACTGATCAAGTTTGACTTATATGATGGGCTAGTATAACGTCACTTCTTTCGGTTTTTGTTGTTGTTGCTTAGC